AGAACAACACTGCACTGCATTAATGTGAGGCAGGATGATAGTTTTTTCAAAAGCATATGTTCGTTAATGATGGTGAATAAATAAGATCTAATGATGCCCAACCAGCATTTGATACACAATGATAACACAATTATGCTAAACACTAAATTCATGATATATTTTTTTTAATTAATGTGCAAACGCAATGTAATTGTAATACAGACTAATCCTCAAGACCTTCTTTAGTAAACGTACTCCTGTATTTTTTTATAAGGTTTGTCATACTGACTGTTCTCTTTTAGCAGGCTAATTGCCATGTCATTTCCATTAACATTATATTGAATGCTATGAAAAGTAATTCAATCAAATTAATCTAAGTCAGACTGCAGATGTACACCAGAGTTTCAGACGAGCATCTGAATTATTGGACAGCAGTAGTAACGTATCCTAAATTAGTATGCCATTTATAAGAGCATGAAAAAGACTACATACTTGCACCACAACACTCTTGACTCTCTCTAGACTCTCTCTTGACTCTTTCTAGCACCATATGACTCGTTATGTTATGATATGATCACACAGCCCTTGCACCAATTTCTCAATACTTAAAAAAGGAAATGTACTAATGAATGAATCATATTTATTATTTTAATATAATATTTTTTATTTTATTGTTTTATTCTATGCATTATCAAATATTCTGCTTTAGCTAATAATTCCTTTACCTTTATTTGTGGAAAGTATTTTGACTATTTGAGACGGTATCATTACTTGTGCCTTTAATGCTGGGGTTTATGAAAGGGTTTTATTCTAAATAACCTTTATTTTGCTTTTTTCCCATGGCCTTCATAGAGATGGAGAGAGTATAAAAATATATCAAAGGTTTATATTCTGTTTGTGGCACCATATTCTGCTTATATGATTAAAATTTTATACTATAATAACAATAAGATTATTTTGCACTGGTATATTATACTAAGAATGTGCTGGTAATTCAAAAGTTTATTAAATATGTTCAACACTTCAAATCACCCTTACTCGATTTGATATAAACATGCTGTGCCCTCACTCCCTTCTAACCAGAATTATTCAAAATTATAATTCAAATCCAGTATCATGGTAATGGTCTAATTGTTTTAACTTTAATATTGCATTGTAACAAAAAATCTGATTAAAGTTATAATTGGTTATGACATTAAACTGCAGTTGTTTAAATAATATATGATTTTTAAAAATAGATTTAGCCAATTTTAACAACCAAAATCAATCATGACCCTATATTAATAAGTAAAGCCACTAGGAGGTGTTGTGCAGAAGTGATCTTTCCCTCCTCTCCATGTGAACATGTGAAACTCATATTACATATTTTCTTATTTTATAATTCCAATATACGTAAACCTTTGCACTCAACTTGCACAGGGGGTGCAGTGGTCCTCTGTGTCAGCGTTCCAGGGTCCCTGTTTCACTCTTTTTGATCCTGAGCTTCTCCTAATGTCTGTGTGGGTTTCCTCCAGGTTCTCTGGTTTCTTTCCACCTGGCAGGTGGAGTGGCTATGCAAAATTTCCCCTGGGTGTGAATGAGTGTGTGGGTGTGTGTGTGCATGGTGACCTGTGATGCTTTCCAGCCTCATGTTCCAGGGATAGGCTCTGGATCCACTGCAACCCTGTGCTTACTAAAGATAAATGAATAAGTAAGGAATAACAGTCAACAGACTGTGAGGTTATACGAAAATACTGCATGCCACGGGGGGGTGTGATACACCATGACGCACAAGCGGAGTGCCGCTACCCTCCGAAGTACATTACTTTCATATAACAGCACAATCTGGAGTGTATTATTCCACTTATACAACAGCAATTTGCCAACAGTTATAAAGTTTAATTTATTAATGTGAAACAGTCCACATTTTAACAGCTTATAATTAGATTTGATGTTGTCGAACATCCAAGAGACACGTTAGTTCCTGTGTTCACTTATGTTATAGCTGCAATAAACAGTCATTCCCTCACCAGCCTCTCTCTCTCTCTCTCTCGCTCTCTCAAAAAACACAGTTTGTCATTTTATCAAGAAACCAGAAAGCATAAACTTTGTCCTGAAGTCGAACCTGTGCTGACAAACTTCGCAAAGCACTGTGACTGTTATAAAGCGCTTATAACCAAAACTCCTTCCATAAACATTAAATAAATGTCTTCTAACAAAAAGTCACCACATCAGCGATTACAGGTTTTTGTTAAAGAGTAACATTTTTAAAATCTGTTTATTATTAGTCTTAGATTATGTGGAGCGTCCGCTGCGCAAGTCCCAGTGTATGAGCTGCTACTGTAGAAACAATAACTATGTTTACATGCACGTCAAATTCCGTTTAAGTCATATTCAGCCATATTTTCCCGAATACGATGTTTATGTGCGTACAGGTGTCGGAATATTCCTGTATACATGGTTGTTCTAAGTAGGCCTGAGTTGCCATTCCTAAATACCTAGCCTACAGCATCTGCTAGTACCCACAATTCCTTGCGGACTGAGCATGCACATATATCTCCTTTCAGTGGATTTTCTGAATAAGGTGTTTACATGCAACAAATTTCCAGTTAAAACTGGCATATTCCAGGGGTGGGAATAGAAATTTGGGGAATCAGAATATTGTCTTAATCTGAATCGGGCAATCGGATTGCAGCGTTTACATGACTCAATAATAATCAGAATACTGCCAAATTATGATTAATATCAGAATATTGATATGTATGTAAACGCAATCAATATCATATTATAAGGAGAGCATTAATATGATGTTACAGCATTCATCTACATTATGGTATAAATGAATATCTTACACTTGTTTCTGGTGAGCTGTTGGAAATTCAGTGTTTAAGCACTTGCTTAATTAACTGTGCTTATGGTCTCTGCTTCACCTTTAAACCACTTTACAGGGGAAAAAACATCTGCTGCTAAGTGAATAAATGTCGGCTAAATGTTAATCGATTCTCGATCTCATAGCCCCGCCCACTGGAATCGATGTCATCGGTTAGCGTTGCTACAGCCTGGCTGAGCTCGGCGTTAAAAGCCTCACTCTGAGCGCTCGCGAGGCGCGTCTGTACGTTTTATTTATTTCATACTGGTTTCTTATCTTGCTAGCAGCTTGCTAGCTTATTAGTCTTTCACCATGGCTTTATTCTGTTACACAACGGTTTAGTCACCGATGCAGAGGCGTCGTTTTTTCGTGTAGTCGAGATATGATCCGTTGGAAGATGAATTTTTTTAGCCAGCTCGGCTTCTTGTTGTTGTTGTTGTTATTGTTGTTGTTTTTAGCTTCATTCACCCAGTGCAGAAGTTTAAAATGTCCTGATGGGAAGCCATGCTCGGACCGACCTCCTGTGGTACTGAGTAAGTTGATGCATTTACAGAGCAGGTATCTATCCACGACACTTAAAGATCTTAATGGTCCCTTTTTAGTCTTGTTTACTGATGACGACTTGTTGACTTGTTTATTTTCGCGCGAGACTGGACAGTTGCTGACTAAAGGTGGTGTACCATGTAGCATGGTGTTGAACTATCCATAGAACTAAACGTTTTGTGAGATATGTAGAGTACAAAGATTAGAAAAAGTGCTTGTGACACCTTGTCAAAGTCCAGCCAGCTAGTTCCAGTCACGAAAGAGTATAATTATTAGTAATATTAGCATGACATTTGCAGCTAAAACAGCTGTGTTAGCCTAGTTAGCATTTGTGTTGGTGTGGAATTGTCTAATCTATCCACACTTTCACAGGTTTAAACCTGGACTGTGTGACCAAGACATCCTGAAATTGGGAAATAGGATGTAGGCTTACAGAGTTGAGTTTTTCCCTTGAGGTGCCTTGTGCCTGTGTGGAGATTCATATGACATCCAGTCACATGATGAAGGCAGGGAGGCACATTCTCACACACAACACAGTGTAGCACAGTGCAGTGTTTATTAATAACAGTCCTGGACTTTAGTAAGTCCTTTACATAAGAGATTCAAAATTAGACAAACAACAAGTAATATGTATACAGATAGATCTTAAAAGTAAAAAAAATTAAAGTAAAACAAGGAATCATAGTGAAGATAAATGGTAAAAGATGTTAGTACAACAACTGATAAATAACAACATTAATAACACAATCTACAAGGTTTATCACAAACGGTAGGTTTAATGACAGGAGCTATGAATAGTTTAATCAACAGTCAAATGAATACTGTGGAACAAAAAAAACATTTGTCATCCTTTGACATTCATGACAGTGTTTATACAGAATTCATCATAGCATTTTATTAATATTTCTGGGTTTTTTTTCTGTATGTTGATTATTTCTTGGGTATAAACTCACACGAATAAAATCAACACTTCACCTGTGTGTTTTACATCTGACAATCATCCTAAATGCAATTTAACTTGTGTTTGTTAAACTATTTTCCCAAAATTGTTCACTTGCCGACTCCCACCCACCAGCCAGCTCTCCCCTATCATATGACTTCTACCAACACAGGAGAGTGAAGGATCTGCTTCCTCTAAGACACGTGAACCCAACCTCAGCTGCTCATGCTGCGTCACTCGGGGGAAAGCGCTATCTGCCCTCTTCTGCATACTCGCAGATTTGCTCACAGATTCCCAGGATTGGCTAGTGTGGCACTGGTTGACAGGGGAGAGAGAGTACACCATCCCTCCTGCTCTGAGAGCATGACCAAATTTGCCCATGGTCCCTGGCCACGCATAGCTGTGGTACTGTTGCGATTCGAATTAGATAATTTGCTCCTCTTTTGAGCCTCTCGGGAGCCCTGTGAATGCTTTTATGTTAAACACACTTGAACATTTCCCCAATAGGTTGCCACACTGGTGTAAGTAAGTGTTTTCAACACTAGTTGTTGCTCCCGTTAGGGGTGGCCACAGCGGCTGATTGGTCCGTATATTTGATTTGGCGCAGTCGTTACACCGGATGCTCTTCCTGATGCAACCCTCCCCAATTTTATCCGGGCTTGGGACCGGCACTGGGAGTGCACTGTCTTGTTCCCTGGCCGGGAGTCGAACCTGGAGCGTGGCGGTCAGAGTGCCGAGGCCTAACCACTAGTCCTCCAGGGACCCGGGTTTTGAACACTAGTGTTTTATCAAATTCATGTGAAAGTATGCTTCATAAATTTTAAGTGACATGATGGTGCAGCAGGTAGCATTGTGTCCACATGCGTTTCGTCCAGGATCTTCAGTCTTTTCCCACCTGTCAAAAACCTGCCGGCAAGAATAAGCTCTGGATCCACCGTGGCCCAGACCACGATAATGCAATTACTGAAAATGAATGAAGGAATAAATTTGCCAGTACTTTACAGGGGAAACATAGGAATCCGTTGCACAGCTACGCTCATCAGAATAATCATGCGTAATTTAGAATACGACTCCACCATGGTTTTGGCTCTCTTAAATAAAAACGTACCACTACTGAAAGTCAGAGTATTATATTGTTTGCCACATTGTGGTATTGTAAAAGGTTTTGTCCCTGGGCTTTTATTATATAACAGCAATATGGTTTTTTTTTTTGTTGTTGTTTTTTTGTATATTGTGCTGCCCTGTTTCAGAACTGTTCCCTTTCTTATTTATTTCACTTTTTCTTCATTAGTGCGTTTTTTTTTATATTCAAAGGCCTGTAACTAATACAGTAAATTGTCCCAAAACAGAAGTGTGTGTTTTGCATTATGCACAAGAGTCGAAATATAATATAAGGAAATAGCTTTAAAATAGATTTGCCTTTTTTTTTTTTTTTTTTTTGAAAAAGAAAGGGCAGCACTGACGATAAGGCAAGACTCGCTGCTCAGAAGTTTAACCGCAATGGGTTATTTTAACCAAAAGTCAACTGAGATATCTTGAAACCTTTATCTAACGTTCAGCAAGCACACAGGCCACTGTTTGAACATGTGCTAATATCAGGGTAAGTCAAATGGAGTTTATACTAAAGCTTCATTTCAGATCTGTCACCTCAGCACACAGAGAAAACCAGTATCTTGACATTTAAGTGCGAAATTTAATTGTGTGACCACAATTTAAGAGTAATATTCCCTTTTAAGCCTTAATCTGTCACGATTGATCATCAGTCGATAAGAGGAGACAGCCTTCTTATCAGACTCACTGTTGATGTCCTTAGATGTGAACGCATATAGAGATAAACACAAAGTTGGGCACTAAGTCTGTTTACACCACAGCGCTGTTAAATTCTCAGTTCTATTTTGCTGATTATTTTTCTAGAACAGCAGCTCTGACAGTAGCGCCGGCTGCAAGACAAATCACAGGTTTATATTAATGTTTTCATTTTAGTATTTTATTGAAACAGCGTATACAGGGACTTGTAGGATGGACGTCCCACATAAACTGATTTTTTAAACTGTGTGTTTAAAACAGTTTAACGTTTAGCGTTTATCTAAAGACTTTGCACTTCCTGGTTTCTTTCTTTATTCTTATTAACTTTTAAGAGAGTGGAAAAAGAGAGGCTGGTGAGGGAATGGCTGTTGTAACAGGAACTAACTTGGATCACGGACATTCCACAAAGTTAAACGTAACTATAAATGGATTAAAAAAAAACTATATCATGCCATCATGCTTTAATAAATACAAAATTTTGCATATATGGAATGGAACACGTTGGGACATGCTGTTATTGGAAAATCAACAGAATTGACAGAATATACCCTTTGGCTTGTCCATGATTGCGCAACAAATATGATAGAAATTGTGTTGTAAAATGCTGCAGTATTTATTTAACAACTTGCTGGATTCCTCTCTGTGAATGGCTATAACTGGGTATTTCACTCAGCCTTGTTGCTCTGCAGTTCCAGGCGATCTCGGGAACCAGCTGGAGGCTAAGCTAGATAAACCCAGCGTCGTTCACTACATCTGTTACAAGAAGACGGACGAGTACTTCACGCTATGGCTGAACCTGGAGCTGTTGGTGCCTGTGGCCATCGACTGCTGGATCGATAACATGAGGTGAGAAGCATCAAGTGAATCCGTCTCATGATGTTTAATGACTATTATTAGCTCACAGGAAGTTTTGTAGGCAAACATGCACAGACTACAGACCTCAGGTCGAGTGTGTAATGAAATGTTGACAGCATTGTGGTCACCCGACCATCACACCTAATCATGTCTGCATGGAGCTCGCTTTGTGCACAGGGGCATTGTCATGCTGGAACAGGTTTGGTGAAGGGAAACTGTAATGCTACAGCGTACAAAGACATTCTGTACAATTGTGTGCTTCCAACTTTGTGCCAACAGTTTGGGAAAGAACCACATTTGGGTGTGATGGTCAGCTGTCCACATACTTTTGGTCAAATAGTGTATATGTGCTCAGTTTAGACCATCTGTATGTAAATTTATGCTGCATTCGACTAAAGCCCTGGATTTCCGACCTTTTGGAAAAACAAAGAAAACACCCCTTCAACTTAGAATTCCTACTTGTAAACTCGGCACAGTCTCTTAAACCCTGAGTTTGGCAAGTGACATCAAATCAACCTGGCTGTCGACTTTAGTTCGATTAAGGAAGTCTGAGTCACTGTCTTCGATGTCTCTGCTTGCAGTTTCATGTGTCATGTCCACCTACCATCTATTCACTTGCCGTATTTCATAATGACTTTTACTAGACTTTTACACGAGGCTAAAATTCTCAGTTTAAGTTGTGACTCATGTCCGCATTAGCAACTTCACACTCTGTTCTCACATTTCTTCTTTATGTCATCAGACACATTTCCAGATGTGGAAAGACACACTGAGTTCTTTTTGCACTTCACTGATTAAAACGGGATGCTTTGCATTGTAAGGCTTCATCATGATTTCTGTGCTCAGGCTTTGGTTTCTCAGAGGGAAATGAGTAACTACAAATGGCTAAAAATGTGACGTTTACTAGCCACCTGGTTCCTTCTTTTTTTTTCTTTTTTTTTTATCTACATTTGATTTCTTTTCACTGCTGAGTGTAAAGTTTCACTGAATCGATTTGGTGCACTGGTGTTTGTTTCTTTGGCATGGTGCGTTTGTCTCTTGCTCTAATTCACTGCTTATGGAGACACATTAAGTCGTATTATAAAGAAAATCTTTAAAGAAAAACTGTAATAAGTATAGGGAACTGAATCACTTTAGAGAGAATCCCTAAAGATTGACACACCAGAACTACTAATATAATCGAATACTTCCCCTTTATAAGCTGTAGCACAGTCTTTTTATTATGATGATGATTTATTTTTAAATACATCACGCTTATGCACGTTTTTATTTTACACACATTTAGTGCATATTTCTTTGTGCTAACTGTTTGTACACATAATAGGTGAGTCCTTTATATGTATTTGCCTCATTTTGTGCATCAGGCTGATCTACAATCGCACTACTCGAAGTACCGAAGCACCTCCGGGCGTGGACATCCGCGTGCCCGGCTTTGGCCAGACGTTCGGCCTGGAGTACCTCGACCCGAGCAAACACAGCGTGGGTGAGTGACTGCTGTTCTTCCAGCAGTGGCGCAGGCACCCAGTAGCTATTTGTGAAAAACAGCTCCAGGGTGCTTTTATTTACGTGTTTTCTTGTTTGCTGGTTCTCTCACTCTCAGTCAAATAAATGCAAAATTTCTAAAGGATCTGAAAGCCACTGCTGCCTTTCAGTTCACTGCAAGAAGCACCATGAAAACTAAGAACAAATGCACGCGTCTGTGCTGAGAACCTGTCCGCAGTCATCCTTATGCTTGTGTTGTTTTTTTTTAAATCCATCACAGGAATATACTTCTTCACTATAGTGCAAGCCCTGGTGGATTGGGGTTACACCAGAGACGAAGATGTCCGAGGAGCACCTTACGACTGGAGAAAGGCTCCCAGTGCGTAAGATTTTAGTCTTTTGGCTAATCTTCATGATGCCCTGTGGTTAAGAACTGCAGAGCCTCATGGGTAGAATTCTAGGGTAGAATTATAATCCCTAACAGAATAAAAATCTGCATTGTTGCCCAAAATGATCAAAACATTTCTTATTGTCATTGATGGTTTTGTGTCATTTAATTACCAGTAAGTCTAGTAACTCTAGCCGATACCAAAAACCATTACTGGATACAAACCATTGAAGTTTTTGATAGAATTATAATATTGCCTCTAAGTGGTTTTGTTTAGGTGACACAAACGCTTGATTTGTGGGAATCCTGCAGTGTCGCAGCACTGCATGGTTCATGCACAGGTCTGGAAAAACCATGGAAAATATGGCACTATTTTATTTTTATTTTTTTTGAATATTTTGCGATCAAAGTAATATACAGTAGATGTAGACTACTGTACAGTGGTGCAGCAGGTAACATTACTGCCTCACAGCTCCAGGTACTCTGCTTAGATCCTGAGCTCAAATTACTGTCTGTGCAGAGTTTCTGGGATGCATCCATCGTTCCTGGGATAGGCTCTGGATGCACGGCAACACTGACCAAGATAAAGTGCTGACAGAAGATGAACGAATGAATGAATTACATTCCCATGTCTTTATGGCACAAATAATGACCATGAAATATAGAATTTTTTAAAAAACCATTCTGGAAAATGTCTGGACAAGGAAAAAGCAAGAACCCTGTACTGCTATTGTTTGTTCTGTCTGTAGCTAGATAAAATTATAGATTCTTTAATTTCTCTTATAGAGAGATCCATTTGCATATTAAGTCATAAACAATTAAAGAGAGTCATTAAATAATTAAACTAAGGAATTAAAATGTTAAAATGCAATTTTTAAAGATGTTTTACCACCCCAAGTGAAAATACAGCTGTATTCTCAGGAGCCTACTCATAAGTCTTTTTTTTTCTTTCTTTCTTTCTTTTTTTCTTTTTCTTTATTATTACAGATGAGAACAAAGAGTACTTTCTGAAGCTACAGCTGATGATTGAGGAGATGGCGCAGAAGTACGGTGGTCCAGTGGTCCTCATCGCTCACAGCATGGGCAACATGTACACACTGTACTTCCTCAACCAGCAGCCACAGGCCTGGAAGGACAAATACATCAAGGCGTTTGTGTGCCTGGGTCCTCCGTGGGCTGGCGTGGCCAAGACACTGCGCGTTATGGCCAGTGGTAAGAAATCATTTTCTGT